CCAGAGGGGGCAGCGCTCCTGCCTGCCCTGCCCTCAAGGCTCCTACACCAGGTGAGTGCCGAGCCCCGCGTGTGGGAGCTGCATCATAACCACAAAACTCTTCCCAGCCACGAAAATCTCCTCCTTTGGGTGTGACAGTGGTCACAGGGGTCCTTGGATCAGGGGAGAGATGAGAATGTCGACTCCATGTTCGGAAGGCCTGATTTATTATTTCATGATAGATCTATTACATTATAACTATACTAAAAAGCATAGAATAGAAAAGAATGAAAACAAAAGCAGCTGGTTTGGACAGAGAGACCCAGCTCTGCCGTGAGTGGTCACTGAATCCAAACATCCACACGAGACCAATCACGGATCCACTTGTGGCATTCCACAGCAGCAAATAACCATTGTTTACACTTTGTTTCTGAGGCCTCAGCTTCTCAGCAGGAAAAATCCTAAAGAAAAGAATTTTCACAGAAGATGTCTGCGACATTTGGGCTGTATCACCGGCAGGGCTGTGTACAAATCACAGACGGGACGGGGCTGCTGTGGAACCTGCCTCGAGCTGTTTTATTTGTCAGCATCACTCTCATTACATGGTTATGACAATGGGAAGATGCCATCAGCTCACATCTCAGGCAGCAGACAAAGAACTTAATGTTACAACTCACTTTATAAGTTTTTTGACCAATCACACAAAGCAAAAGCACATTGACAATAGTTCCATCCAACCCCTATAAGCACAGGTACCTTTGGTTAAACACTGCCTGCTTATTTCAAATATGATACCTACTTGTAAGCCTTAAAACACAATGCACAGAGCTCCATTATTAAGTTTCAAACTTCCTAATATCTTGCTATATCTAGCAAGTCTATCTGTGTCCAACTTTTCTGTAGCTTAGGGAGTTATTCTAGACAAGAGTTAATACACAGACCATTGTTCTATTTGTCCTTGCTTTCTACTTTCTAAATAATTTTTCTGCTGACCAATCTCATGGCTGCTGCTTAGCTCTAATCCCAGTTCTGCTGTCTCTGAGACCTGCCCTTTGCAGCTTTGCCAAAACCCTCTGATTTTGTGGATTCCTACAGGCTGTAGGGAATGTGCTGCCAGGGCTGTTTCTCAGAGGCTGAATTCTCCTCATCAGGAAAGCTTGGTGTGGATGTGCTTGTGCTGAGACTGTCCCTGTGTGGGCTTCCCTTTTTTACCCTCATGCCCTTTGTCTGCACTGAGGGAACATGTTGTTTTGTGGTGGGGAGACACTTGGCAGGGAGGTGTGAGTTTATCTCTTCAGCTTTTCTCTGGGATATGTCTGACCAGCAGGCTCCATCTCCCTGCTTTGCCCAATTCCTTCCTCAATCCCTGTTTTCTTGCCCCCAAGGCATCTCTTTACTTTTGAGCTGCTGGCATTTAAAGCAATACCCTCAGCTGACAGAGCGTGGAAAAGCTGACAGGACAGGAGCCCAGCCTTACACTTCCATCAGGCTGCCTGATCCAGGGATGCTGTACAACGTCCCCTGGCTGTGGGGATATGGGCATGTGCTGCTCTCTCCACTCCTATTGCATTTTCTCTTGCTGTATCCATGTCTGCAAGCAGTCAGCTGTGCCCTTTGTGGGGTGGCAAGGACAGCAGGGGTGGGAAGAGCCTCCCAGGGCCGTGTCCATTGAGGAGCTGCTCCCTTTGGGTCAGTCCTGGGTTGTGGGAAGGGTGACCTGACTGCGCAGCTTGTTGGCAGCAGCCCCTGAGCTTGAGGTGCCAGAGGATCTCCCTCTGTGCTCCCCTCTGTGCCCTGTCCTCGCAGTTTTTGTGCTGTGAGGACCTGCCTTAAAAATGTGCCCCCAGACTGCTTTAAAAGCCAGCCAGGAGCAGAGTCAGGGCACACAGAGCTGCTGCTCTTGGGATGTGGGAGAGGGACCCGAGAGGGCCAGCAGCCCTGCTGGGCTGGGTGTGCCAGGGCAGGGACCAAAAGGGGGGATCTGGAGGGACCTGGGGGTGCAGGGGTGCGTGGCCATCTCCCGGTGCCTGCCTGGGCCTCAGGGCTTCCAGGGAACCATTTAACATTTCTGTGCTCTTTGGAGAATTTGGCCTCCCTGCAGCTTTGAGAGGCTCTGGCTGGCCCAGGCCCTGCGTTGATTTGTTTGCAGCAAAGCATTTGCTGTGTTTCCAGTTGCTTTTGGGGGTTTTTGGTTGTTTTTTTTTCATTTTGGTTTGGTGTTTTTTGGTGTATTTTTTTAAAATTTTATATTTTTTCCCTGCAAATCTCATGCAACTCTGCAGTTTCTGAAAGAATTAAAGATCATGTCCTTGTTTTCCTCCAAAGCATCTCTGAGTATGTTATCAAATTCCTATCCCCACATACTTGTTGAGAGGGATTTGGCTCTGTTAGTGATGGATGTAAAAGCTTCCTCTTTGCCTGCCTTTGCCTCACTCATTTCCTCCCCTCCTCCTGACATGTTCCCTCCCTTTTCCCACAGTCCCTCCTGTTTAAGATCAGGGCTCTCTCACGTCACTGCCTGTGGTTTGGGTCCCTTTTTTCAGCTCCTGATTCCCAGCAATGAGGGAGGAGCAGCTCCTTTTGAAATCCCTGAGGGATGCTGAACAGCAAACACCTTCCCTGTTCCTTTTTCAGGAGTGGATTTAAGAGTCTGACTTAAGCCAAGGGTTTTAGGTCTGACCACAGCGTATTTTTCAAGACCTTCAATTCAGATGGTCCCTTTCCATATTGCCCACAGGCACAGGGCATCTCTAATCCTAATAATACAGAAAAATTCAGGTTTTTAGTCAACCTTTAATATTCAGGTGAGTTCAAACCAATGTTTTCCTGCCCAAACTCCTTTTTCACAATTGCTCTATTTCTAGACTAGTCAGTGTCATGTTCTGCTCTGTCTTCTCCAAGTGGATGGAGGCTTGGGTGACTTAAAATTGTGTTCCTCTCTGCTCCCTTCCCTCCCAGCCTCCCAAGGAGCTCTGTGTGCCTTCCCTGCCCACCAGGACATTTTGCTAATGAGTCTGGGGCTGCAGCCTGCAGGGCCTGTGAGCGAGGTAGGCTTTGGTCTGTGTTCAACACAAATGCATTTTCATCACATGGTGCTTTTTCCCAGGGGCAGATGCAATTACCAGGTAACTTAAAAGCACTGAAGAGTAAACAAGCTAAAAACAGCCCAGCAGATCTCTTCCCTATTCTGTTGTTATTAAAATGGAAAGAGCAGATCTCAGCCATGCTTGTTTTTGCAACAAGTTAATGCTAACTCTGCAATGAAAAAAGTTTTATGAAATTCAGTTTTAGCACAATGGGGGAGCATTGTTAGGAAACAAAATATTCTCTATTTCTGATAGCAAAAATGAATATAAACCATCTTTGTTTTCATTTAGGCAATGTTCTGCACTCTGAATATTAAGTGTAATACTTTCCTTGTTTTCCACACATTAAAGCTGGGGTTGTCAAGAGGAGCTGCTTTGCACCTGGCTAATGCCACTCCAGCCTGGTGCAGTGTTTGCAGAGGGGTAACAGCATGTGCAGAACAGCACTTGCTTATGCAAAACCCCAATTAGCACATGCAGTGCAGCAGCTCCTCTGCACCCAGGATGGGTCCTGCTTGAGCATTCACAACTGTTCACTGGAAATCCACCCTCTGAGCTGCTGGGCTGTGCCCAAAACTTGACTGTCACTTGCTGGGTTTGGGAGGAACACCAGGGGAATCTGCCAGAGCCCTCCGTGCATCCCTCAGCATGGCAGGGGTCAGCAGGGAGCTTGCATTGCTCTTTCAGAGCTTTGGACAAATATAACCCCAATGCCCTGAAATGCCACCTGAAGCCTCTTGTGGGGAGTTGTTTGGTTGTTTGTAAAATGGACGTGAGCACAGTGACAACAATGTAGGACAGAGATGTGGAGGCAGCATCCTGAAGCCTTACCCTTTTTTTTTTCCAGGCTATTATAGCTCCAAGCAAAATGCAGCTTTTTGTCTGCCTTGCCAGCCAGGATCCTTCTGCAAGTAAGGGGCTGCTGGGGTGCAGGGGCTCACAGGGAGGGGGGTTCTTTTAGCCCCCATGGAGCTGGAACCAGCAATGTAGTGCCCAAAGTCCCCTGCCATTGCAGCTCTAGGGTGCGGCTTCCAGCAACCTTCTCGAGTCTCCCTGACCATGCATGGGAGTGAGATCATCCTTGAGTGTTGTCATTACAGTGCAAGAGTTCTATTGTCATTACATGGCAAGGGTTCCATATTGCCAGAATTTTGTACCTCTTTGATGTTTCTCATAGGCAGCTCCTCCAGGCACTGACTCTTCCTTGTCCTCACAGCACCCACTGACTCCAGTTCCCCCAACCAACCAATCCACTCTTTTATAACACTCTCCTTATTGGCTACAGCTGTGGCCTGTTAACATCAGGCCTGCTCCTAAGCCTTAGTAATTGGTTCAGCTGCAACTCTTTAGAGGATAAGATTACATTCTATGTTCCATCCCCCTACACTTGAGGTCCCTTCCAGTCAGACCATTCTGTGCTTCTGGGTGACAAACTGCACTGCAGACAGACGGACGCCCACAGTGCAGCAAAGGTGGATCCTGGAGCCTCCCGGCTGTCAGAGCAGGCTGTGGTGGGCTGGGCCGTGCAGATCCCACAGCGTGTCCTGCTCCTCTCCCTGCAGCACCAGCGGCTGCTCCGGCTGCCGGCCCTGCCCTGGGGGACAGGAGGCGCCTCGGGAGGCGGCGGAGACGTGTGAGACCTGCCCGGCAGGTAAGGGGAGGCTGTGCCCAAAGTGGGGAGGCTGTGCCCAGTGTGGGGCTGTGCCCGAGGGGAGGCTGTGCCCAATGAGGGGCTGTGCCCAATGTGGGAAGGCTGTGCCCAAAGGGAGCACAGCTCCAGCTCCAGGCTCATTCCAGACCCATCTCAGCTGGCCCTGCAGGTGCCCTGCAGGCAGAGCTGGGCCCTGGCATGAGGGATGTGCTGGGGGTTTGTCTGGGTGCTGGTGGAGGCTGTGCTGTGCCAGGCTGGTTCATGAGTGCCTTGGGGCTGTGCTGGTCCTTGGCATGCCCAGGAGCCCAAATCCACAGTTGGTACCAGCTCCAGCAAAGAGCATCTTGCCAGTGGTGGTGGCTTTGCTGAGGAAAGCCCAGCCTTGCTGTCAGTGATGGATTTTCTGCAGGGGCAGCCTGGGGCAAAGGGACATGGGGAGGGGATGTGAGGGAATGGCCGAGCTCCCTCCTGTGCTCTCTGAAACACCCCAGGCTGCCCCAGCAGGGCTGGGCAGGGACTCAGCCACCGTCATGGCAGGGACCAGCCTCCCTGGACACAGCCTCAGGCTGTCTCACAGCCCGGCTGCACTTTAAACATTGCAGGAAAGCATTTTACCACTGTGAGACTTGGAACTTCTGTGACCTGTCTCTCCCACAAAGGTTGGGAAACTGAGCTGTGTTTGAAGTCTGCTCAGCAAGTTTCAAACAGCTGGAAAAGGTCTTTGAATCCAGAATTGGAGAGGATGAAACACTGCTGACCTCCAGTTCCCATCTTCCCCTACATTAAAGCCAGAACTCTCTGCTAAACCCTCTCCCACCTACTCCTACTCACACTGCTCTGTTTGCCAAGGTCTGACCCCAAATTTTCTTTAGTCCCTCTGTCCCTGTTCTGCTCTGACCCTTTGCCACCGAACCAGGACCAAAGTCCAGGCTCAGCTTTTGTTGTGCACATGAGCACTTAATGCTCTTTCTCCCCGTGGCTCTGAAAGCTGATTCATTCATATGCAATTGCAAAGGTCCTGGGGGTTAGTCTCAAATCTTAATATTGTGCTTATTTGCTGGTCAGGTACATTCAAAGGTGCCAATGACAGCAGATGCAAGGCCTGCAGGACAGGGGAGTACCAACTACAGCGGGGCAAGGAGAGCTGTGAGCAGTGCCCAGAAAACCACTACTGCCCTGTGAGTCCCCTGAGCAGCTGGGACAGCCTGTGCTGCCCAGAGCTGTCCCACACAAGCTAAATACCCCTCAATTAACACTTCTTTTTTTCTTGTTATCTGAGCTTCCTTACTCTTAAACATAGACAGGGCTCTGATGCAGGGAATAATTAAAATGAGGATTGCAGGAGTGTGCTGGAGCTGCCTGCTCTGGCTGGGGCATGAGGGGGTGGTGTGTGCATTAATGAGGGGTTTGAGGTACAGACTTGCTGTGTAACAACCCCTTCTGCTCCTCCCCACACTCCAGCACTGCAGGAGCACACAGGGCTGGATTTAATGATGGCAAGGTCATTCCTTCATTTATTTTTTCACCCCTCTAATGCTAAAATGTCACCTCCCTTTGCCCTGGTCACCTTGTGCAGTTTGCTGGTGCTGATTTCCTTCTTCTCTTGGGCAGAGCCCGGATGTGAAGCCAGTGAAGTGCCCCCCTGATGCCTTCTGCCCGCGGGGCAGCGTGGAGCCCACCTACTGCATGGAGCTGTTCCTGTACAAGGCAGGGGACTCCTGCCAGCTGACCCCTGCCACCGTCATTGTCCTGGCCACCTTCTCAGCAGGTCAGTCTGGGTCCCCTCTGCAGCTCTGTTAAACCAGGCATGCTCTGGGTGGTGTGCTCTGTGTTTCTGGACAGCAGGATTTCTAATCAAAGTCCTTCTGCTGCTCTCAGTGCCAGTGCTGTCCCTGGCCCTGAAGGAAGGTGGCACAAGTGCCAGTGCTGTCCCTGGCTCTGAAGGAAGGTGGCACAGTGCTGAATGGTTGTTGTTTGTCCCTGGGAGGCAGGGATGTGTGTGAGCCCTCAAACAGGGATTCCTTGGCTGCATCAAAGTAAGAAAAAAGACAATTTCCTTTTGGTGTGTTTCCTGAAAGCATTCCTGCCTTAAGCCATGCCACAGCCTCCAGCAGAATGGGGAGCTGCTGGCTCATGCAGTGCTGTGGCATTGATGCCAAATGTTTCTGTACCCAAGAGTCAGGAGCTGCTGAGTGTGGGGAGAATCCCTCCAGATGCACCTGCTGTGAATCAGCTCACTGGGGCAAGCTAATGAGGGGGTGAGCTCTTCAACTGGGAAGCTGCACCATGAATAATCATTCCAAAACAATGAATATGCATTTTGAGTCTTAGGAAAGGGAAAAATAGAGTTCTCTCGTTTTTTAATCAAAGTTGGGGGGAGGTTTAATCAGAGAGTTATGATGAAAATGAGCAAGTATTGGTGCTGTGGATTGCACGAAGGGCAGATGAGGAAGCTGGGAGGAGGAATCTGTCTCCTGTGCCCAGAGATGAAGAGAAATCCCTAAGTGCCCTTACACTACCAGAGATGAGAATCTTGTGTCAAGAGAGCCAAGTCATAGAGATGAGTAAGGCATCAGAGGATAAAGGATATCCAACAAGCCTCACATTCACAGTTTCTGTGTTTCAAGTGTATTTTATGTCCTTCCTGAAGACCCATGAAGACTTTTATGTGCTTCTTGAAGACTCCACTTGGCTGGCTGTTGTTAAAAGGAGAGAGGAGAGGTTAAATGTGTGTGTTACAAGTCACACAGCAAAGCTGCTTCTCCAACAAGATGTGTGTTCCCATCACCCTTGTCTCCTGGCAGTGAGCAGGGGACAAGGACAGCAGGGTCCGCAGGAGCTCCAGCAGCACCCTCGGAGGCTGTCCCCATGGGGCTGGAATGCCTGGGGGAGCAGATGAGGGCTGTTCTCACAAGCTGCAGCTTGCAGCCATCAGAAAGGCCCTCCACTGACCCCTATCCCCTTGTGCCAGGCTGTTGTTCAAAAATCTGCCAAAGCAGATGCCATTTGAAGCGAGTGTTAATTTGAAAAAGTAGATTAAACTGAAGGATATGAAAAGACTCTCCAGAGAGGGACAATAGCCCATTAAGCAGCATTTGTGATAAACAAGTCTGAGGGTCAGGGAACAGCATTCCTGCCTCTCCCAGAGCTTGCAGCAGAGAGGGGGAAGGAAGGAGCCCACGCAGGAACCCGCGAGTTTTTCACGGCTGGTCTCACAGATCAAGTGTTTGCCATGAGGCTGTCTGCTCACACAACTGAAATTTGGGTGTATTTGTCTGGCCATATTGCATCACAGAGACAGATTTGTGCTCTTCTGTTCAGATCAGTTTTCTCTGGTGATGCTTCTGCCAGAAACAAATGAGCAGAATGTCGCACCACTTGAGATTTGCCAATTACTTCCATGTCTATGCCCAATCCAAAAGTAATTTTTCCTGACAGCCCTGATCTCAGTCTAGACTCAGAGTTAATCTAGGTTAGTTACTACTTGTGCTTCAGTGTGAGTGCTGCACAGAGCAAACTAATTTCTCAGCAAGATCGTTTTGGTGGGGTCTGCAGTGAATAAGATGCCAAGCGGAAAACAGTTCTAGAGAGTAAATGGGAGTAGGAAAGCAAGTTACTGAATTATTTAATTAAAACTTGTCATTATTCCTTGCAGAGTTAAGCTGAACTGCTGAAGTTGAGTGTTATTAGTGCTAGTGGAACCTTTTCCCCCCCTCTTTTTGGAGGGGTACAGAGTATGTAGGAGGAAAAAAATCCTTATTTTACCAGAAGAGAATACCTGAGTTGAGAACCCTTGGAGCAAATGTCACCTGATATTTTACTTTCCCATCTGTGAATAACTACCATTCCTTCCTTTCCTTCCAGGTGGAATCCTTGTTGTGTTTCTGATCATCCTGAGGAGCCGACAGGAGCACGGCAGGAGCTCCCTGAAGTCGCCGCTGCTGCCCCGGGGCTCAGGGCTGGGCTCCTACGGGGGCACGGAGCACACGGAGCCCGTCTATGCGGGCTGGTAGCCCTGCCAGGGCCAGCAGCCTCTCCTTCCCCTGGGGCAGCACAAATGGGGCTCTGGGCAAGGTGTTTAACCACGAGCAACCTACTGCTGTACAGCTAAAATCAGTGCTGGGGAATAAAACTCAGTTTTTGAGTTGTGGCTACTTGTGCAAACCAAACCAGCCCATGCTGTGCTGCACTGGGCTGATGGGAAAAGTCTTCCCTTTCCAATTTCCAGCTTCCTTCACAAATACTTTCCTTCATAAATACTTTTCTCTTTTCATCAGGGAGAAAAAAGCCCCCAAAAGCAATCAATCCTACCTGTTTCTCCATTTTAATAGTCAGCTCAACAGAGTGAGGAGTGACTGCTCACTATTGAGGTCTCTTTGATACAACACTCGTTTCCACCCAAGCACAACCTAACATGAATATACCTCCTTTTAATAACATGCAATTTTTTATTTTGTTACCCATTCTCAAAGTTTTAGCATAAGCACAAGTCAAGGGAAAGGATCCTAAAGCTCTCCCCTTCCTTTCAGCTGTAGGCAAACGTGCAACAAAAGAAATGGTTGATTCCTGGACAAAAGTCCCTTTTGTTTTCTGCTGCCAGGTGGTGCTCAGGGTGGAGCTACAAAGGAGCAGCAAGAGGCAGGCACAGAGGATGCCCTGCCCCTTTCTGCATCCTGAGGGGCTGGAGGAGACCCCTGCCCAAATGCCTGGGCAAAGTTCTGTCCCTGGTCCTGGACACTGCAACCCGACCCCGGAGAGCACCAGAGTGGTTTGTGCCTGTTTGCTGTGGCACTCCAAGCCCTCCTCTGTGCACCCAGCCCAGTGTAACCATCTGGTTAAACTGATACGATTTCTAGATTCCTGTGTGTGGCTGGTTGACTCTTAATTTGTTGTTTGCTCTGTGTCCCCCATTATGTTTTTCTCTTTGCCAGCATCCCAGGCAGTCAGAAATGCCCAGAAAAAATTCAACATCACCTCTACTGGAGCCAATGCCAACTGCTCCATGAAACCAGTACCTGTGGCCTCTTGACCTTCCCACCTTGTTTTCCTTTTCCTGCTGCAGTGACATTCCCACACAGGTGCTGTGTGAGCCCAGCGCAGCCAGCTGTGACCCTCTGTGCCACTGCTGTGCTTCAGCAGCTCTCCATGGCCAGTAGAAACAGAGTCTCTGTCAAAAGAGCCATGATTTTAAATGGCTCTGCACAGAGGTGGTGGCAGGTGTTACTTCTCTCTGAATCTTGCGGCAGCACAGATGGCTGAAGGAGCCCAGCTGTGGGGGGTTAAGTGGTTCCTGCCCTCAGCCTATCATTCTCCTCTCCCCAGGGAAGGTGTTAGAAGTTTTTAAAAGAATTTATAGAATTTATCAGTTCTTTGATCTCCATCAGGTGAGGAACTGGGTGCAAGAGTGGCACATCAGCCATTGTGGGTGCCCAGAGAAGCTGTGGCTGCTCATCCCTGGCAGTGTTCAAGGCCAGGTTGGAGCAGCCTGGTCCAGGGGAAGGTGTCCCTGTCCATGGCAGGGGGTGGAAGTGGAAGGTCTTTAAGGTCCCTTTCACCCCAAACATCCTGTGATTCTGTTCTGGATCAGCAGCAGGAGGGATGGTTCCTAAAGCCCTCCCCAGAGCCCAGCAGGGGCAGAGCTCCATGCAGCCTCTGCCACTGCTGATTTAGGAGAGACATGAAACTTCTCCCTGGCCCAAGGCTGTGCTTTTCCCCAGAGCAGCACAGGGACACAATCCTGCTGCACAGCACCAGGTGACCTCAGCAGAACCATCAGCCACCAGTATCAAAGATCTCTGAAATGCTTTTATAAAAATTGTAGCTGCTGTCACACACGGGAGACTCCACAGGGGAAGCCAAACCAGACCCAAAAAAACCTGTGTGGAAAAGCCAAAGAGTCAAACTCAGACCTGAGCAAGCAGGACCAGCATTTGTGACAGCAAAAGGACCCTGAGGGAGCAGAGCTGGCTGGGCTGGGTAGCCCCAGCTCAGTGGCACAAAAGCCAAAAATCATGAGCAACAGAGAGCAGCACTGGAAAAACTGGACTGCAAGAAATGTCAGCAGTTCTGTGACAAGCAAGAGTGTGAAAACAAGCCACAGCACAATCATTATCACCTCTGTGGAAGCATTAAAACAGCATTTCCAGTGCATCTCTTATGTAGGCCTGAAATGCAAGTTTTCCCTATGAGACAACAAAGCCCTCACTGCCAAACCATGCTTGCTCAGGATGTATCAATTCCACTTTTTTCTTTCAAGGGAAAAAAAAAAAAAAGCGCCAAAGTAAGTATATAGAGCTGTTTTACAAAAGAGACGTAGCAACTTCTTAAATAACTAGGAATAAAATTCAACATTTAATAAGACATTGAAGTTTCTCAAGCAGTCAGACATGGAATAATGAGACTCAACAATGTGGAAAAATTCCATTAATACGTCTTTCAAGATATTTTGCTTTTCCAAGTAATTCAAATAAAAAAACCTCCTAAAACCTGACCATGAACACAAAGCTATTGAACAAAACAGACATTTACTCTGATTACTTTTCCTAGGCTGTATGAAAATACATCTAACATACTCAACTGAAAATTGTTTCCATGCTTGCTCATGTGATAAAAGAACAACAAATTCTGAAATTGGCTGTCATGTATCAGCTTTTGCTAAAAAAGGAAAGACATTTTGCTACTTTGATGGGCAAGACACAAAGAACATCATTTAAGGCCACATAATATGCCACAGTTAATGTTGTTTAGATTAATTTATAGCAGAAAATCCTTCAAGTTGCTGAATGCTAAAAAGTACTGAGTTGCATCATGAGAAAGCTCAAGTCTTAAGGATTGTTTTACCTTGGATTTGAACAGAGGGAGAAGGAAAACAATGTCACAACTTTTCTTCTGTCTTCTTTTTTAAACAGAACTTCAGCCTGTTTTCCCAGGCTGCAGAGCAAAGGTACAGAAGCCTTCATTACAATGCACCTAATGGGGACAGGAACCAAAACTCTCCCAGATCACACCTGAGTGCCTGAGCTGAGCTCACGGGGTCTCATGGCCAGGGGGTATCAGGGAGAGAGAATCTGATCCACGTTCCTGCTCAGGAAGGAATTCCCAGAACTCCCAAGTGCCCTCCTGGCCTGCAGCCCCAGGGATGCAGAGTCCCAGGGCCCAGAGCAGGGAGAGGTAGAAGAAGCAGAAGGACAAACAGCCCCTGGCTGAGATCTGTTTGTGTGAACAGTCCCTCTGTCCCCACAGACAGACAGACAGACAGACAGACAGACAGAAGGGGTGTCCCTGCTGCATCCTGCTGTGCTGGATGTGCTGGGGAGCCCCCTGAGAGCCCAGGGCTGCTGGCACTGCAGGCTGTGCCTTCTGCAAGTGGGGATCTGCCTCTTGGGACCTGGGGCATCACAGTTCCACAGTGACAGAGCTGTTACACATGGAGAGGAAAAAGAAACAAAACAACTGAAAAAAAAAAGTTAACAAATTATGAAAGCAATGGAATGTAAAGGAAAAATTTTATAATAACTTATTTAAAGGTATTCTTACAAAGCCTTCCTTACATGGTATAGTATTCAAAGAATGGTCCCAATGAAATCCAATTCCTTCATTTTGTTTTAAAGCAATGAGGAAAATATTTCTGCTTTACTACCTGACCTCATTTTCCTTCCCTTGAAACCCATTGTTAAAGAAACATCCATAGTATCATTTTTTTGGTTTTGATTTTATGCACAGGACTGTTCTTCAGCCCCTTGGCAGAGAAAAAGTTTCCCTCAAAATCAATTAAAGAATCTTGAATTTTAACTTGAGTGCAAGGCTTGGCATATCATTTAAAAAAAATGCAAACATGTAACACTTCCCCTGATTTTGAACTCTGCTATTTCTTCAAAATAATTAAAAAAAAAATTAACCTTCCAACAGTGTTTATAAAAACTGATTCAAAAAACAAAGCATTTTGGTCACAAAACAGAAACCAAAGTGTTCATCATAGGGCAATGCGACATTTATAACCTCTTTCAATTAATATCTTCTAATAAAACCGGACTTTTTACATGTTGGGAATAAATGGGGGTTTTGGCAATTCCAAGAACTAAATCAAATCCTGAAGAAATACCTTGGGAAAAAAAACCCCATACACTTCCATGATACAGCAAGGCTTCATTTTCAAAAGGGCTACACAGAATTCCTGCACTATGAAGGGCAAACTAAGCTAGAACGTACACAAATGGCTCAGTGGACATGGAGGTGCTTATGGAGGGTGGGTCACAATGGCAAAAATCAGAATGTGCTTGGGATGCTGCCTGATCACACACCAAGGATGTGCACTGGGAGGAAAACTGGCACAGATGTTTCTCTTTACTGTTTTTTCCTAGTTCCAGTATTATCTCTGTCAATAGTGTTGTATGTTCACCTCACTGTGAGTCACCCATGCTAATGGGGGTGAGGAATTCAAAACAGCTTTGCTGACACAACACAGCTGTGACAGGACAGTCAAGAGCAGAGCTCCTAGAAATGTAACAAAAAAAATTAGTCTGTCAAGTAGCCATTTTTGTAGAAACTTTATGCAAAGGAACAGAGTAAGGCTACATTTCAAAATTTAGCATCAAAATTCTTACACACTGCTTCAAAAATCTATTTTCCTTTTGTTTTGAATTTAGTTTTTGCACTTCAATCAAGTTTCGCTTTCTGTTTCATTCATGGGAGTGATTTTGTTCCTTGTTGGGCATTTCTTGCATTATCACAAAGTTGAAATACTTGGACTCCAAGCATTCCAAAGAAAAGTTTGCCTCTGCATTTTACCTCCCACTGAGGAAAAAAAAAAAAAAAAACCAACTTTTTTTTTTTCCAAGTAATAGCTTTTGAAAGGTTTCTTTTTATAAAGACACAAAAATCCTAAAGTACTGGGCCTAGATTGGAAGACAATATCCCTTTAAGTCCTGGGACTAGATTGCAAAACAATATCCCTTTAAGCCCAGACCTGCACAGCTCTGCAAGATCAAGTAACTTCATATTTTGCTGGGATGAACTACAGGAAAAAACAGTATAGAAAAAAATCTCTTACAAAGTCAGATTCCTCCTCTCTGGTACAGGGTGTGCTTTTCCCACCATGCACCACATTTCTTGGTGGAAGGATATTTATGGTCATGATTGTTTAAG